GAAAGGGGTGACGCGCTTCCGCGACCTTAACCGCCTTCCGCGAACTGCGGCACGATGTCTCGACCATACGTGTGGGCATACACAACAATACCCAGACCCAAGTGGTACCCCACGCAAGCGTCGAACTCATGACCTTTGGATCAGAGTCAAGCGTCCTAACCATTCAGCCAGGAGCTCGTTGGCTAGCCGGTTTAGGTCAGGTGATATTGGCACTCGTTGATGAACGTTAACCGAAACGTTAATGGGGCTCAACTGCTCCGCTCTGCCTTGACCTTCGCCAGAGGCCTTGAAAACCGTAAAAACTGGAGCATTATGACAAAGCACACACGCCACATATGAGAGTTTGACCGTCTTTTTAGAAGAGGTCTACCATGTTCTCCACGGCAGTGCGAGGCAAGAACCGTAAACTGCGCTGGATTATAATGAGAGTATACTTTCGCTGCATCTTCCCCACTGCTTGTCCCAGTCTCACATCTGAGTCTGGTGTTGCGACAGACTCAAGGAGACCACAGATGGGAAAGGCACAGACCCACACACTGTGGGCCACCCCATGACCAAGAATACCACGGCAAAGTGGTGGAAGACTTGGATCTTTTCTGACTGGGAGTGCCATAAAAGTCATATTAGGAAGGAACCAATGCGGCCTGAATATGATTTCGCCGGTCAGTTAATGTCCACAAGCATATACCGATCCAGTTTATCCTGCCAGTTGCCAACATTCCAAACCACAGTTTTCAACATCCCGCAATAACTTCAGGCGCGTTACGTATTTTTAGTGAAGAAAGTGCGCTGAGCCGTCGGCCTACCTTCTCCCCCTAACACAAGCTCGTTGTCATTGTCAGAGTTGGTCATTCGTTTGATGCAGATGGGCGGCATACACGTAAATACACAAATGGCAACCGGCCAGAAGAAGACAGCTATTTCACGATTTTCGCCAGTAGCAAGCCTGCGGGCGGACAGAATGGGTCTGAACACGATCCTAATCACAATAGTGAGTGCGATGCATTCACTTGATTTACCTAGATAGCTTATTTTCTAAGGCCTATGACGTACTGATGATCAGACAGGATCGTGAAACAGCTGTCTGTGTCTGATCTGTCATGGCTCATCGGCCCTCACTCTGTCAACTATTGAACTGACCGACTCACTCCAGGTGCACCGCTCACACAAAGTTTGGCTCAGGCCAGTAGCCACCTGGGGAGCGCGCAGGCAACTCTCTGACCAACGCCAGTGCCGATGAGGCAAATGGCTGGACAACCAGCTCGCCAAGATCCAACATGGCTGGTGTAATTTCAGCAGTAAAGGACTTGCATGCCAATCATGGGGCATTGTCACACCAGAGGATAACCACCTCTAATGAAAGGGGAACCGTTCATTGTAATGAATATGCAGTAGGACAGTGACTACTGTTAGGGGCCAGCTAGCATACAGATAGCGAGCGCGTTGACGGCAGGCTATCGATCGGCCTACACGGGCAAACGCATACAAGCCGTCAATCAATCAATAAATTAAATTTGAATCTGCAGTCAGTCGCCGAGTCACCAGCCAATTGTGCCATTGCCTACGCTTGGAGAGAAGCTGATTGGCTCGATGGACCTGGCTTACACTCGTTTGTTGCCCTAAATATGTTGTATCTTGTACACTCAACGAAATCTTCTGTTGCGCAATCTTCTTGTCGTGTTCTTCCTTGGGGGACTCACACAAGGGGTAATTAGGTGGTTACTTCTCGGCCTTGGCTACCGTTACAACAGCTACATCCTATAAATACTGTATTCCCCCCGTACATGAGTTATCTCTATCCGATGCTGTCTGTCATGATGGGTTCTAGCATGAATCGAAAAAGCCAAACGAATAAAGTCCTTGTTCCAACGATCGCGTCCGCTTCTTCTCGCGTATATGTGTGTCTCTTAGACACTTCAACTTGCTAGTTCCATCAGTGTTGTCAGTGCATATAAGCCGAGTGGAGGTTTTCATACTTCAAGAATTGAGGCGAACATTCGAATCCTAGGTGTGTGTATAGGTAGAGGAGAGGACATTTCGATCACCAGAATCATGGCTTTGTGGCTATAAATTAGAAG